TCCAGAACATTCCTTTGGATGAGGCTACCTTTGATGGATCTGCAGCTCAGTCTGAAGGCGTTTCCTGCCTCATCCTGATGCTTCTCTCTTCCTTCCCAGGTGTTATTCCCCACAGACCTGCCACTTTCTCACTGTATCTCAATTTTTGCTTCCCAAGAAACTGAACGTGGGATGTGGATGCCTTGAACCCCATACAAACTCTGTGTTTTCTGAATGTACTTATTTCTACCATTTACCAAGTGACTAGTGAGGTCCATCCCCAACACTCCCAGATCTAGCTAACTGAGGCAACTATTATCTAAGGCTATATATACACATTTTTTTTTCCTAGAAAGGAGTAATAGCAGATCCTCAAATTAGATGGCATGACTGAGGAAAATGTAATTGTGTTCTTGGTGGTTTCTACACAACAGACTAACACACACACACACACACACACACACACACACACACACACACAAAAACAAAAAACCTCCAAGAGTCTTCAGATCTTCACTCCTGGTCCTCTAGATTGACTCCCAGAAGATGGTATACTCATATAAACAATAGGCTTCTCATCTTTTTTGTTTGTTTAAAATAGGGTCTATCTAACTCTGGTTAACTTGGCATGTGCTATGTAGACCAGGCTGGCCTCAAACTCACAGGGATCTACCTGCCTCTGCCTCCTAGGTGCTAGGATTAAAGGTGAGCTCCACCACAGCAAGTTAATTTTAATTTCTTTACGGTTATATGGGGTTGGGCATAATGTGTGCATGGAGGTCACAGGACAACTTTCAGACGTCACTCTCTCCTTCCACCTTTACATATAGGTTCTGGGTACAAGTTGCCATGCTTACACAGCAAATGCCTTTACCTGCTGAGCCATCTTCCAGGCTCGGGTTTTCATCCTTAAAAACAAATGTTTAAAACCCAAGGTAATATTTCCAAAATTTTTTCATATGTATTGGCAGATCAAAGTGATATTTAATTGAACACTGCAAATATTGAGTTTAGATGATAAAACAAATGCTTTAGGACTCTATGTTTTAAAAATTATTATTTCCCTAAGTTCTATTTCTTTATGTTCTGGCCACATTTGTGTTCTATATTCTGGGCCAATATTCATATGAAAAATATGATGTTGGATCTTGAAAATCACAGAGTGATGCTTATCAATATTTATTTATGAATCAGAATACTCCCTAAAGGTTCAATAACAAAAGATGTTCATATCTGAAGTTTTAGCCACTTTCTAAAATCAACTTAAGTGTGTCTAACCAAAGAATTCATTATTAGTTTGTGGTGTTGGGAAGGAGCCAGGGCCTCACACAGGCTAGGCAAGTCCTTTACAGAGTTACCTTCCCAGCCGCAGCTAAGCAGTTAAAACAGTAGGTTCTACGTAGACTCATGTAACTAAAAACTCAGAACTGGCTTTCTTCTAACACCCTTGCTAGCACATTGAGATCAGAGGGGCACAGGCTCACTGTATTCTCCATCCTCACTCCCCCGCCCCCTGCAAGGAACAGCATGTGGATCTATAAGACACTTCAATGGCAGGTAAAAGTCAGCTCTGACTAAAGCTTATTACAGACAACAAGCGCAGGATTTCAGAGCAAGTGATCCACCTTCCAGGGTCCCTCAGCTGAAAGGTGCTCACACATTGTTAAACATGACTTACGCCTTCTGTGGCAGAGACGAAACCTCCAAGGCCAGGCTTTAGAGAACAATGATTCATAGGACAGGTGACGTGTGCAGTTCACTGTATGATTATATGTCACCTTGATGTGGGAGAGAAACATCCACTTCAGTAAAACACAGCTTTGGGCATGTCCCTGGGAGCATTTCTGGAAACAACTAGCTCTGAAGGGCTCTGACGTAATCGTCTAACTCACTGATTGACAGACTCAGAATCTGACAGACAATTGCGAGACTGTGGAGACCATGGTGGGTGGGGCCTGGTTGAAGAAGTGTGATGTGGGTGATGTGCCTCCCATGGGTCTACCTTGACCCCACCCTTTCCTGTTTCTTCTCCATCCCTTTCACCCTGCACTATGATGTTCTATCTCACCACGAGCCCAGAACCATCAGAGCTGTTAGGACTGAAGTCTCTGGAAAGTCTAAACTAGGATGAACCCTCCTTCCCTTGTACCTGACTGATACCACCTGACATGGGCTGTGTGTTGAATCCAAGCACCTGGGCCTGAAAAGCCTGGCTGGGAAGGTGAACTCTTTGCCAAGAACCCACGGTATCAATCTCAACCACAGTGAAGTCAGACTCTGCAGGGCTGTCCCAAATAATAAACCACGGCAGCTTTATGTTATTTTGTTTTTGTTTTGTTGAGACAGGGTCTCACTGTGTAGTCCTGGTTAGCTTAGAAGTCACTCTGTAGATTAGGCTGGCCTTGAACTCACAGAGACCCACCTGCCTCTGCCTCTCAAGTGCTGGGATGAAAGGTACAAACCAAAAGAACACATGCTGCTTCTGGCAGCACACTGAAAGAGCAGAGAGAGAAGAGAAATTCAAATGTCAAGGAATAAGTTACCCATCGGATACATCAGTGCATACAATGAATCTTTGGAGTGTAGAAAGAGGCTACGGTGATTCCCTGTGTCCTATTACAGAGACAGCTCCAAGATAGTCTTTACGGACAGAGAAAGCAAGGGGAGTGACAGTATGCGATGTGCACCCTTCACTGTCTAAGACCAAAGCAACTAGAATGTGTATGGATTTGCTTTATTTGTGTAAACTCTGAGGATACAAGAAATGAACAAAGACGCAGTAGGCATATTACAATGGGGGTCTTTCAATGTCTACCTTCCTTACATTGCTGGAGTTTTGAACCCTGTGGAGGTCACCTGTTTGGAAATGAAGTTTAAACATCTTAATGCTGTCTTTTTGTAATGTAAAATATGAAACGGAGAACAAATGGCATTTTAACATAATCGAGACAGTTCACATCACCCCTGCTGTATTTCCTGGATAAAGCAGACACCTGCCTTCAAATATGCCCCTGGCATTTTTCTCAGTAATTCCTTCATGTCTGACTCTCCCGTGGCTGTTCTTACTTAACGCACTAATTACATTACTCCAAGTGACTAAACAGCACTCAAGGAATGAGACGGCTTTGAAGGACTCCACAAATTCAAACTGCATTGGAATGGGCTTGGCAGACCTAGGTCCTGCAGGCCAGAACAGATAACTCGTCTCCTCTCTTTTGTAGGCAATATTTATATGCTTCACACAGCTCCCTCTTGAATGCGAGGGAGGAACAACGGCAGCAGCAACCACAAAAGGGCTCCATCAGGCTATAAACATATTTCCCCTTCCTTGATAAATGCCGATTGGGGTTCACTTGAAACGTGGGTGTTCCCGACACTAATCTCGGTTGGAACTGAGTGCTTCTCTCATCCTTGGCTCCATACTGAAATCAAGAATGACCTGAGGTTAAAACAAAAAAAACCCGAATTACCAGTCTCCTTACATCATATTATGGGTTCACTTTGCCTTATCAACAGCATCAATCACAAGCACCCAATATGGCGTTTCAGAGAAGCAAGGATCTCAGAAGACAGCTATCAATCACAACTTGACAATTCTCAAGTTGCCACAGGGCTCTATGAGGCTGGACTGAGGACTGTCAGCATCCCAGTAATTTTGTTCTAGCATGATAGGGGGATTAACAATAAAGGTGTGGGTTGGAGAGCGGGGTTTCAGCACCAGGCACCACCCACAGCTGTCAATTCGCTGGAACCAAGTGTCATTTACCAACTGTGTTGTCTGGGGCAAGTTAAATAACCTACCTGTGCATCCACTTCCCTCATCAGGGGAAAAAGGGCCCATCAGGGCCTGCCTCAGAAAGTCAACAGGAAGACCAATGGGAGTTTCTTTTCCAGAGGGGCTGGAAAGGAACATGTGACCTCAGGGGTCAATCTGTGATACCAGTACCTGGAGGAAGCCACAGCAGCTTCAGATCAACAGTTGGATGCCTAGATGTATATCCATCTTCTAAGTACTTGAGGCAGCTAAAAATAAATGGTAACTGTGGTAGTCTGAAATGTAACTGGCCCCCTAAATCTTGTAGGGAGAGGCACTATTAGGAGGTGCAGCTTTGTTGGAGTGGGTGCGGCCTTGTTGGAGGAAGTGTGTCACTGCGAGGGCGGGCTTTGAGGTTTCCTGTGCTCAGGATATGGCCCAGTTTCTCAGTCGACTTCTGTTGCCTGCAAGATGTAGGACTCTCAGCTCCAGAACCATGTCTGCCTGCCTGCTGCCATGCTCCCCATGATGATGATAATGGACTGAACCTCTGAAACTGTAAGCGAACCATCCCAATGAAATGTTTTCCTTTATGGTGTCTTTTCACAGCACTAAAACCCCAAGACAGTAACTAAACAGACTTTAACCCAAAAGTTGAGGGTATCTATTCTTTAAAATCTGCACAGGAAGCAGACTTCACCTTGAGTTTAGACAGAGGACAGCCATGTGCTTTGGAAGCACCAACAGAATGTCATGGGTTATCTTTTAAGTACAGAAGCACACTCTTTGGGCCTTAATTCTCAAAAGTATGTTAATTCCTAACAGCTTACCAAGAAATTGATAAACAGATAAAGGTAAAATGCCCAACTTGTAGAAAATATTATCAAGAAAAATGGACCTTGAATAAAAACTGCAAATTTGTATTTCACCAAAGTGAAGTTTTCAATCTTATTCAATAAAGAGGGCACTGAATAGTTAGGAAGCTTTGTCCCCAAAGGGAAAAAAAGAGTGTAGAAAGTGTGTTGGAAACCTAAACTTTTGCTAACAAAAAAGTAAAAGCTTCTTTTTAAAAAACAAACTTTTTAATTGAGACTTTTTTCAACCTCAGCAAAATTCCCATTACATTTGGCAAGATGGCCAGGTACCTACTAGCTTAGGCCAATCCCCCCAAGAAGGCACTCCAGAACCAATGTCCATCTTTAGGTGTATAAAAATGACCACACATCTTTGTCCCAACACTCCAGAATAAACACTCAGAACACAAGGATTAAATGGACTTGGATTTTTAATTTTTTAAAGATTATCTCTCTATATATATTAATAAAAAGTGCAAAGAATAGACCTCCATGTTTAAATTATATTCTAAAATAAAATATATATATATATATATTTATATTTCCATTAACTGCAGGAGACAACTGTAAAGGGCCTGAGAGTCCAGCCCCTCTCTGTCACTACAAGAAACATACATTTGAAGGAAGCACCTATGAAAAACAGTAGAGTTCACAGCAACACTTGGGGACACAGAGCTTCTGGGCATTCTTGAAAGCGGTTTGTTTCATTTCAGTCTTACATGAAATGAAGGGAGAGTCGAATTCATCAACAGAAATGACGGTACGTAGGAACTCTGGAGCATTCTGAAGGCATGCTCTCCCAGCCCTTGGCCTAAGCTGCAGTGCAGAGAGCCACACTCTGTGGGTTAGGAAAGCTATTGGTGGCATGGCTCCCATGGTGATCAAAACTGCATAACCAAGTGTCCTCTGCTCCCAGCATGACTGGTGGGGCGACATGGCTAAAAAACCCAGTTGCAATTGCATTTGCTCTTCCCCTTAGTTAAGCAGCTCTTTGTGGGTGTAGCATCACAGCCCTCAGCCCTTCGGCTTCATTTTCACCAAAAGGTCTTTAAAAGGAGTGTTCATCACCGCTGCTTTCTTATGCATTTATGGCAACAGGCTGCAGAAATAGGCAACTGTGGGCCTTTCCTTCTTGTAAAGAAATCTAGATCTCAACAATCAAACTCAAATCAATTTGGACCACAGCTTTAGCAGCTCCACCCACAGGTAGGACTCTTGGTTTGGGTTTGGCTTTCTTGTGTTATTCCTTTCCTTTTCCACAACTGAAAAGAATTTCTACTTTAGAAAGGCATGCTCTCTCTGCTGTGCCTGAAGGCACATCTCTGTAATACCGGTGAGGACAGCATTTTGCCTCCTAACTGTCAACAATATGCTCCCACTCGATCTGATAGAGTCAATATTAAAATACAGACAAGCTACAGACAAGCATGATGCGTAACGTGCAGACTCAAAGGTCCACAGTCCCTTCTTTCCTCCTTCTGTGTCTGTTATAAAAATAATTTTATAACAGAGTATTATAAAATTATAAATAATTATAAATGTCTACACAGCACCAATTTTATTTCAAAAGCAGCCTCTTTACTCAGCCACCCAAATAAATCTGTAAATACGCATGCTCAAACAGCTTTCTCAGTTACTTCTGTAATTCTAGAAGCCCAAGGACTGTCTGTGAGATTTTCTTAATTGGAAATGATTCGGCAATTATTCAAACCACCAATTACAATGCCCCAGAAATACCTCCACCAGTTCAATTGGATGAGCAGTTCCCTTTCCATGCAAGTGTACTAAAGGATTAGGTCTGCAGTAGATAAACACTGTGTTCTGTAACAACAGAAGAAACGGGTCTCTAAGAGTAAAAAAGCGTCTCGTAAAACTTTGTCATATATAAAATATCTTATTGTGACCATTCCACTTATGCCCAAAGTGTAAGTGCTCACTCTGCCTTCTGCTGTGGGACGGGAGTGGCTCCAAAGTTCAAAAATAAGAGTGCATCTGTTTCCCAGGCCGACAAAAGCAAAGTCTCCATTACAGTTTCGCTCGCTCGCACCCTCCTCCGCACTCACGCGCACAGACACAAAGCACCCACAGTCTTCATCTTCGTGACACTGCGGCCACACTTTTTTTTTTTTCTTATTTCCAAAAATCTGTCCAGAAAATGCAACTGCAAAATAATTGTCCTTGTCTCTACTGGCCTGATCCCTGCTGCTCACTTTTAGAATTCTGAGATAAAGTCTGCAGCAGGAGAACCGGCCTTACTCATCTTTCTAAACCCTTTGGTTTTCTTTCCTTTAGCGCTGCGGTGAACGCAGGCCTGCTTCAGTAGGCCTGAGTCCACAGCTTTAGAGATACTGAACCTGAAGTGCATCAAGAGAACAAACGCCTGCCACGTGGAGGAGGAAACGAAAAACCACAGCTCCCCATCCATGAAGAAGCCGTAAGGGCCATCTAAAGAGCTGACAAGAAAGAAGTTTGTAGAAGTGGAACCCCATAACAAAGGTAAAAAGAAAAAAATCTGTATACTAAAGAAAGGACCTACTCTAATTAACAAAGAACGGAAGGCCAAGGAAGAAGGTTCCAGAGTATGCAGGGAACTGGTGTTAAATAAAGGACAAGTGGTTTAGACACACTTCTGCAAAAGAAACCTGGGGGGTTGTGACACTGAAACTTCACTCATAGATTAGGCAAAAATCATTCCACAGGGGACGTCAAATGAAATATAAAACAAAACAGCTGTTCAATTATGACATCACAAAGTCCCAAGAAAGGTGGGAACCGCAGTTCCCTTTGATGAAAATCTCTCTTTTAATGACATTGCTAGGACAGGGCTTTGGATGGACGATACAGGCAGGAGCGCAAGCAAGCTCACTCTCCTGATCCCTCCACCTCCGCCCCACACCCTGGCCAGCCTATCAGCTGCCTCTGCTGTGGAGTGCATCCCCAGAACTGTCCAGGCTCTCCCTTTATTTCCAGTAGCTTATGTGATAAAGCTGTCAGGAAATGCAATCCCTAAGCAGAAAGACAAGATGTAACGGGAGTGATGGCTGATTGCATGCACAAGGGGCTTCAGGAGCAGAGGGGTTAAAGAGCCCCGCCCACGCTGCCAGGGAAACAGCAAGTTTCCTTGGGTTTAACTCTTCACCTACTTCTCTTTAAAAGCCTAACGGAGTTCCTGAGATCAGAATCCGGCTGAGAAAATGCTTAAAATACTCAAAAGCATTTAAAACGGAGAATGGGGGGTGTGTATCAAATTTGAGGGGAAAAAAAAAACCCACCAAGTAAATTATAAACAGACTAAAACTACCAGGTAAGTGTGTGCAAGTCAGAGTGAAAAATGAACCCCAGGAAGGAAAAGAGGAGGAGGGGAAGAAGAACCGGAGATGGAAGGTGCTGGCCCTTCCAGGGAAGATCCCCATCTCTGGATCTGAACACTGCACCACCCCTCTGAGGGACCAGTCTGTCTTCGAGCCTAGCAGGAAAGAGCCCAGAGGCTGACAAACCCCAGCAACACAGTAAGAAGTCGGTGATTTCTCTGTCATCTTTCATGAGAGAGAGAGAGAGAGAGAGAGAGAGAGAGAGAGAGAGAGAGAGAGAGAGAGAGAGAGAGTGTGTGTGTGTGTGTGTGTGTGTGTGTGTGTGTGTGTGTGTGTGAGAGAGAGAGAGAGAGAGAGAGAGAGAGAGAGAGAGAGAGAGAGAGAGAGAGAGAGAGAGCGCATAAAGACTGGAGAGAGAGAGAGAGAGAGAAAGAGCATAAAGACTGGAGATGCAGCCAGGTCTGCTGACTGAGCTGAAGTAATCTGTGGTAGAAAATACCAAAAACAATCCCCTACCCATTCTAGGGGAAGAAAATATACAAAACCCCTCCAAAAGCTAAACAAAACCCAAAACGAAACAGAAATGCCCTTCCTCCTAAAGAAAAGCACGCTGGAAACAAACACCCTGCAGGAAGTCCTTATGTGAGTTTTTACAAGGCTGGTAGAGGTTATTTTGTTTTTGATTCCACAAAAATTTTATCTCCATCCCTAATGCCGAAAGAGTGCAGGGCTCGGGAGCTGTACTTCATCTCTTCCGGGCCGAAGGGGGCCTCGTGGTCAAAGTAGTAGAGAAGCATGCTGCTCGTGGGCAACTGCACTAGAGTTTTTAGTTGTTTCTTCAGTTCTGCTACTGTTTGGTCCAGGCGGATGCTCATTTCTTCCACTTGGTCATTAAAGTGGACTTCCACCTTGGCGCTGCTCTGGGGTCTCAGGTCCACTTCGGCCAAAGGCTCCAACTTCCCGTATTTTGTAATGAGTTCATGATACCTAGAAGTATAAAAAGAACAACATCACCTTGAACTACCCACTCACAACACACCAGCAAACCACACTGCTGTTCTCAGCATCTTTTCTTGTCCTCTGACTGTCCCTTTCTTCCTACATGTAGATCTCGGTACTGACTGACTGCTGACCTCTGTGTATGGATACAGCTGCTCTGCTGAGGCCACAGTAAGACCACATACTTGGGGATAGAAGCATCTCTCCTGAAGATGGTCCCCAGGCCTCTGCTCCTCACAAATAGGTCTAGTGGGGCTGAGGATGTCTCTCAGTTAGCAGGGTGACTGCCAAACACACACGAAGACCTGGACTGCATAAAAAGATGGAGTGGTGCACACCTGTAACCTAGCACTCAGGAGCTAGAGGCAGAAGGATGAGAAGTTCAAGGTCAGCCTTGGCTACACAGCAAGGTCAAGGTCAGCCTTGGCTATATGAAACCCTGTCTCAAGCAACTGGGGATGGAAAAAAGTCTGAGAAAGAAAACAACTAGAGAAGTGGATGCTCCAAAGGCAGCAGGGGAGAGTCCCATTCCTCCCCAGAGTGTGTTTTCTTGGTGTTACCTCTGAGAAGGGAAAACACCTAACTAAGCACATTTCTTGGTAATACAGGGGAAGATAGGGGAGTAGCAAGAAGTCATAATTTATAGAACAACAACAATAATAGCAATATGTATTTCAGCAATTATCGAGCTCTTTCAATGAAGCCTTGTTCGAATGTTCTAGCCTGACCCTAGTGAAATACAAGAGTTATGAAAAGATCAAGGACTCATTCTTGGAAAAAGAAGACCATAAATAAAGATGTTCTGTCATCAGAGCAGAAATAAAACAGCGATGCACACTAAGAGGAAAGTGAGTTACAGAGGTGAGAACAGGATCCCCGGTATTAAGTTCCTACATGGAAATTCTTGTATCCACTGCCAGCCTTGGAGGAATGAAGTCTGATTTGATGGAGGAAGTTGGGCAGTCTCCTACATACCAGGGAGGGGGAAAGAGTCACCATTAGTCTTGCCATAACTAAGACTCACTAGGTTAATTAAAGATCAGAACTTGACAGTCACGTAGCATTAGGCTCCAGCTCTCGCACTCTACTTCTGGCTTCGATTCAGTACAATCAGTGTCATCATAAGGTTAGTAGAACATTAACGACACAGTAAGACATTGTGTGGAGAGATGGAGGGGGAACAGGGCGTAGTAAAAATAGCCCAGGCCCTGACTTTCCAATCTGCCTTACAATTAACAGGATGATGACTTTGCAGCTCACAGAGTCCTCTGGATCTGCTTCCTCATTAGCAAATGTAGGATGCTAAGTCCTGCCCTTCCTACCTGAAGGACAGCCATAAATAAAACAATTGGTGAGTAAGTGCCTGTACCTTCTAAGTTCATAGACGAAAAAAATCATCATTCTATCCCTACTGCTTTGGAGCTAACAATAGTAAAACATAGACACACCTTAGAACCTACAACTGGTCTTCTCGGGAAGGGAGGGGCAGCCTGTAGAACTGTCTGCCAGTGCTTGAGCACAGATTAAAACAAACAAGGAAACCAAAACCAAAACCACACACCATCAGCAGCAACACAAGAATAGAGGCATCACTTCATGACCAAAACCTTTCAAATGGAGCCCAGAGCTCAGCAGTGTGGGGGATAGCAGATCAAGTCACATCTTCAGACTGTGGAAACCACTGTGGAGAAAGGAGGTGAAGAGAGGAAGTCTTCCTCAGTGAAAGACATGGAGCCAGGGATGAAGGTCAGCCAGGGCATGGAGGAACCAGAATGGAGAAAAGCCCCAGGGATCGGAAGCCTGCCTGTCTATCCACCGTCAGGATGTCAGGATTTTAGCCAAGGGTAAGCCAATCACAACACCGTAGGACGCACAAGCATATAAAACCAAATGAACACAACCACCAGGCCATGAGATCGCAGATGGCTCCATGAAATCTTTCCCTTGCCTTCCTGTCACATGCCTTCCCACAAGCACAGACAACCATGATCATGCAAGAGAAGCCCACAAATGGCAGTGGAACCCATATGTGGTCCAATGACCTGACGTAATTTAAAGAAATGTTTCCCCTCCAGACTACAGAGACGTAGAAACAAGAGCATCATCCTCAAACTGCCTAGAAAGGACAAAAGAGGCAGCAACAAAGGGGTCACAGAGAGCTCACACATGCCACATTTCAGCACCCTGAGAAGGGTCCACTTTCACACATAAACAACATAAGCCTCAGAAATGGAAGCACATACCACAGGAAAAGGAATGGGGGAAGGAACAAGGATAAGTTAAGCCAGGCCATGGTGATGCACGCCTTCAATCCCAGCACTCGGGAGGCAGAGGCAGGTGGAGCTCAGTGAGTTCGAGGCCAGCCTGGTCTACAGAGTGAGTTTCAGGACAGCCAGGATTGTTGCACAAAAAAACCTTGTCTGGAAACATCCCTCCCTCCCCCCCAAAAAAAGAAGTAAGTTAAAAAGCAGAGGCAAAATGCAATCTAAAAGCAAGCACACTGAGAGGAGAGAAGCAAGGACACCACACACAGGAAGCAGTAAGTGTGGAAACACAAAATCCTAAGAGAGATGGTGAACTGCTATTGCAGGGAAGGGTGGAAAGAAGGGGTGGGTGCCGCCATTACCAAGCAGACAAGCAGAGTAGGGAAGAATGGCCAAGGGCACTGCCCCTAGCCCAATTCTGTTCAGCAATACTTTTAGCTGAGAGACATTCTGAAACAAGAAAGGACAGAGGGAACAGAGTGCCCATGAGTCAGTCCTTCCAGGGAAAAAATTCAACAGCTGGATTGGAGAATTAACAATAAACCCTGAGCCTCCTTAAATATGAAACTAAAACCTAGCAATGATAACTTCTGCATTTCTCGACTCCCTTCAAACTGTAGACAAATGAACTGATCTCAACCATAAACATTACCTAACATAACCATAAACATATACCTAACATAACCTAAGCTCTACCCTCACACAGCAACCGGCCTCACTGCTGCAAATGAGCAAGTGTGGTTAGAAATCAGATGCCCCATGCCTGGACACTGCAATGTCCTATACATTTCTCAAGATCAACCATGTACAGAAATAGCATTACTACCCTCAGTTAGCGTTCTTCAACTCTTTCGTGTCTTAGTAAACAGTACTAAACACTATCCAATTAGTCTAGCCCCAAACTGAACAAGCTTTCTTCAACTCTTTCATGTCTTAGTAAACAGTACTAAATACTATCCAATTAGTCTAGCCCCAAACTGAACAAGTGTTCTTCAACTCTTTCATGATTTAGTAAACAGTACTAAACACTATCCAATTATTCTAGCCCCAAACTGAAGAGTCAGTCTGGTTTCTTCCTCTTGCGTCTCTTTCCTCCACTGCCTTCATTCAATCAACGGACATGTTTTCATTCCTCTTTCTCCTGAATGTCTTATTAATCTATCTATTGCTCTCTTGTCCATGTGCCTTATAAATTAGAGTCACTCTTATTAATGGTCTTAACGGACACATTTTCTTTCAATATATATGTCTATATTTATTGAATCTCTTCCTGATTGGCCTTCCTATACTGCAGAGTTTAAAAAGCTGAAAAACTACATTTCCCACATTCCCTTGCAGACCAGATTTAGCTTCCACCAGTATCAGTCAGCCCTAAATGGATCTAGCAGTAACAAATGGGGACAGTCTGGGTAGGCGCTTCTTAATCACCAGACTAAAGTTCAAGCAAGGTTCGTTCCTGGAGTCAACAGCCTGGCAGCATCCCGCTGGTCTGAAGGTCGAACTAAGGTGACCTGAGGTGACCTGATAAGCACCAAGGACAGTGCTTGAGATAGGCACCCCACCTCCAGTCAGGTTGACTACAGAGCAAACAGTGCCCCTGGAGGGCATTCTTGTGGTATTATTCTAGAGGCAAGCCTAGGGAGGTGGCTGAGGTCTACTCTTCCAGTTCTTCTAAAGATTTGGTATGGACATTAGACACTGCAAGGAACCCCTTCTTAAGCAGCTTATGACTTTCCATGAATTTAGGGTAGCTCCAGGACAGACTGTCTTCATTTTACAAAAGCCTGGTACATTTTAGAAACAGATTTCTTCCTAGTCTTTTAGTCTGGGTATTTCATCTGTTACTCAAAGTCCACCCAAGCTGAACAATGTCTGCATTAGGGCACCTGGGCTTTGCAAATCATCCCCTCAATGTCTTAGACAACAGGAACGGTTCCTGATGCCTAAGTATTCTTCAAAACCAACTTCTCAACTTATATCCTATAGACAAGTATCTTCATCTGGCTATTAACAAGTATTTAATATTTATAAGCCTTGCTTAGTAAGTGAGCAAAATTCCATGCACTGTGTATTTGTGTTCAGAAGTTCCCTGTAAAGATCTCTCCTTAAAAATGTAACACATAAAACATGAAAAATTCCCAGTGGCCCATTTGGTTATATATAATCCATGAAGAAATGAGAAAAGAGGATTCGTTAAGTTTACTCTGCTCCTGAGGCATTATGAAGATTGAAAACTATATCCCAAGAATCCTCTGACCACCCCATCTAGCCTCCGCTACAATATACCTTCTCTCACTGAGACCATACCACATCCACAGCACAGCAGAGAAGAAGAAATCTTATCAGTCCATGACAGATTTTACACTCTACTGACAGTGTTAAGGCCATTGATACTCTTACTCAAACACATGAACATCACATGTTGGAGACAGAAGGAACCTTACAGACCATCCATCCCATACTTTATAGATGTGATGTAATTAGAGCTTGTTCATTGATCTGAAGCTTCAGAGCGAAAGGAGAGCTGAGACCTCCAGCTCCGTTCCAGGCCATCATCCCTTAGTTCTAAGCACCCTGGTGACTTGCTGTACTAATGAGCGCTGTTCTAGAAACTCAGTTCTCACTCCTACATGGCCCCTTTCAATTTTTCTTCAATGGCGCTTTTATTCTCCCAGTTTTCGAAGTGTCTCGTCATGTAGGCCATGTGGTCTTGAACTTCGGAAC